AGTGAACCAAAACCTACTCTGTAAGCTTAAGGAGTAAACTGAGTGAGAAAGAGGCGTGTCAAATGCCTGGAGCTGGCAAACACGCGGTTGGAGCCCCTGCAGCCTCTGGGTGACCGCTTTGCCGGCTTTTTCCTGAGCTGCAGCTTTGGAGCCACCTGCAGGCTGCCCAGGGAACGGTGACCCCGTGTGGGGAGGTAACTCTACCACCCTGGCTGTGTGACCCTGGGTGTGTTACTTGCCCTCTCTGAGCCTCAGTTACTGCATCTTGTAAAAGGGGCTCCTTCATAGCGCTACCACCCTGGGATTTGTGATGGTCAAGTATGACAGCGTCTTAAGTACCCAGTACAGAGCCTTGCACGCCCCTGATCCGTCCTGGGAGGCATCTTGCAAATTTACCAAGACTTCAACTTCCAAATACCCCAGAGAGGGCAGTGCTTATCCCAAAGACACCACAGTGGTCGCGGCTTTCTCTGTCCAATCTGCTGAGCCCTCCTGCCTCTGTGAGCCCTGGAGAGCTGATTTCTGCCCAGCCCTGGGGAAGCGGCAGGCATGTCCCAGAACCAGGGCTGCAACCCCAGCAGGTGGCAGCACCACTTCCAGGTTGGCTCCCACAGCCCCTGACTTTCCCAGTCCCCTCCTGCAGCTCACCTGCCTGTGTGGTGGCTGCAGGTGCGCCTCCCCCCAGGGGTGCCCTCCCCACAGGGCAGCCTGGGCGCCCGGCTCCATCCAGCTGAGGCCGGGGGTGGGGGGGGGAGCTTTATTTCTTCCTATTTTTTCTTCACTCTCCTCTGAGGCTTTGCCCTGTTTTGTCTTACTTTTGGTTTTTCTTTCCCAAACTTCTCATCGGGTCATGGCACCGGCCCCTGAGTGGTAGGCGGGGGAAGAAGGAGCAGATGGGAGTTTGGCTTCATGTCCAGCGCATGCAGGGGCCAGCGCTGTGGTGCCCGAAGCCCCGCCCCGCCCAAGGCCCACTGCCACCGGGGTTTCTTTTTCTTTTTTTAAGATTTATTTATTTTTCTGAAAGTCAGAGTTACACACAGAGAGAGGGAGAGGGAGAGGGAGAGGGAGAGGGAGAGAGAGAGAGGGAGAGAGAGAGGTCGTCCATCTGCTGGTTCACTCCCTAATTGGCTGAAATGGCTGGAGCTGTGCTGATCCGAAGCCAGGAGCCAGGAGCTTCTTCCAGGCCTCCCACGTGAATGCAGGGGCTCAAGCACTTGGGCCATCTTCCACTGCTTCCCCAGGCCATAGCAGAGAACTAGATCGGAAGTGGAGCAGCCAGGACTCGAACTGGCGCCTATATTTGGATACTGGCACTGCAGGCGGCGGCTTTACCCGCTATGCCACAGCACCACCCCACTGGTATTTCTAGGTGAGACCAGGAACCCCAAACCCAGATGGTGTGGCTCCTGCCAAGTCACACAGCACGAAGGACACAGGCACTGAATCAAGCCCGGGCTGCCTTCAGCCTGTGACTGAGGGCTTCTATCTGTGAGGAGGAAAGACGGGGCGAGAGCACCCACGGCAGCCTCCCCCAGCCCCCCAGGAGCCCCCCGCCCATCTTACCGCGTGGTGAGGACGAGAGAGGAAGGAGAGACCCACAGAGCCTGAAGGAGACTGAGCCGATCCCCTCCACAGGAGGAGGGAGAGTGCATGAGGCCAGGCCCCGGCTTGTCTGTGTTTTGGGGGGCACGTGTGGAAGAGGGAGTTCTGGGGCCATGGAAGGAAGAGGGTGTGAGGGTTGGTGTAGACTCTGTGCCCCCGTGTGGTGTTAGGACCGTCCCAGGGCCGGCCAGCTCAGCGCTTGCATGCTCCCTGCAGCTTTAGTCATCAGAGTCGAGGTGACCCCCCAGGGGGAGAGGTGGCAGCCACGTGCGAGGACACGGACGCACAGCCTGTCTCCCAGGCGGGTTCAGGAAGGAAGCAAGGAGCGAGGGAGCATCCATCTATCCACACGGAGTTGGAGACAGGCAGGAGCGACGGCGCTGAATGGGGATCTCAGCTTACTTAGGAGTGGGGGAGGGGCGTGGAGCCACCTGCTGGGGGGCCAGCACCCATCTGCGATCTGCGCTTGACCCTGCGGTGGGACACGGGCCGTGTGCGGCCGCACACAAAGCATGGGACAGCGCACTCGGGGTCCGTGCAGCTAACTGCATGCACATTACACGTCAAAGGCCTTTAATGAAAACGACGGCAGAAGCTCAGAGTGGCATTACACACACGTGTGACTCTCCGCACTTTGCCGAATACAAGTCAGAGTGGGAATAGCTGTTTATCAGGCAGGGGACGGGGCCCGGCCCTCTAGGCCCTGCGGGAGCCTATTTCTGACATGATCTTGGTCACGGACACCTGCTCCTGTCTAAGCACCCCACCAGGAGGGAGACTCCAGTCTAAGATTCCGTTCCTTTGTGCGCACAGGATGGGGTGGGCGCGCCACTCAGCCGAAGAACAGGGGATCTGTGCTGATCTCAGAACCCTGCAGAGGGCCACCGAGAAACGGGAAGACACTCTGGCCCCCGCGTCCCTGACATCCTTCTCCAGCCGTGAGACTGGCCGTTCGCAGCACCTGCTCCACGGGCTGATTTTCGGAACCCCGGTCTTGAGTGAGACGTGAGTCCACGTGGACTTTGAGTAATGCCCACGTTATGTCTCAGTTTTCCTGTGACTCCGCTCTGAGATCTTGACCTTGGGAGCCTCAGAGGGGTCTCCCGCCTCCCCCACAAGGCCGTGCTCTGGAGATATGGGACCAAGCGCCGGTCCCGACGGCCTGAAGGTGTCCCAGTGGCGAGTCACAGGGCTACCGCTGACCCACTTTCTTTTTGCCGCCACACTGCACGCGTCACTCCTGCTGCCTTTTATTCCTTGGGAAGTGCGTCCTGCTTGCCACAGCCAGCTACGGAAACCACCCACACTTGGAAATGAGGCCAACAGATAAGCGGTGTCCTTTCAAAGTCAGATTCCAGCGGTGTGTGACAAGCCCTCCAGAGGGTCACCTGCCACTCGGGGAACCGAGTGTTTACTGTTGATGAGGTCCCGCCTCTGTAAAGACAGCTGGTGACCGGTGAGAACGGATAAGGTGCAGATGATCTTTGTCTGGCCGAGATGCACATGGGTTCCTGCCAGTAGGGAAGACAACTCCAAGCTTTAGCATTTTATTGCTTTATAGAACATTAGCTGGTTTCGTGTCTAACTTAACGATCTCATGAATATTCCAGAATCCTGTTGTTTCTACTGCATTTCTCTCTCCTCTCTGTCCACGGACGATTTTTTCATCTTTTGTTGGACAAGCTTTGTTAGTCTGCTTCACTAATAAGCTCCAAAAAATAAAATAAAATAAAGCCACCCCCCTGGGCTCGTTCTCACTGTATTTCTCTAAGAACTGGGAGTTAATATTTTTTACCTGTCCTCATGCCAACCCCACCCCTCCCTGTGCGACCTTGGGTGAGTCTTTTTGTCTTTGGTCCTTGGGGTTTTTTGTTGTTAAAGTTTATTCAGTTTTATTTATTTGAAAAGCAGAGTGACAGAGAAAGAGAGATCTTCCACCTGCCAGGTCATTCCTCAAATGCCCACAACAGCTGGGGCTGGGCCAGGCTGAAGCCAGGCGCCGGGGACTCCATCTGGCCTCCCACGTGGGTGCAGGGACCCGAGGACTTGGGCCATGACCTGTTACCTCCCAGGCACATGAGCAGGGAGCTGGACCGAAGGGCGGAGCAGCCGGGAATGGAGGTGGCACTCTGATAGAGGACGCCCGCGTTGCACCGGTGGCTGAATCCATGGCCAAGCAACGCCCTCGCTCCTTAGTTTCTTTCCTCCTCCTCCTCCTCCTCCCCCTCCCCCTCTTCCCTCCTCCTCTTCTTCCTCCTCGTCCTCTTCTTCCTCCTCCTCTTCTTCCTCCTCCTCCTCTTCTTCCTCCTCCTCCTCCTCTTCCCCCTCCTCCCCCTCTTCCTCCTCTTTCTCCTCCTCCCCCTCTTCCTCCTCTTTCTCCTCCTCCTCCTATTCCTCCCCCTCCTCCCCCTCCTCCCCCTCCTCCCCCTCCCTCCCCCTCCCTCTCCCTCTCCTCCCCCCCGCTTCCTCCCCACGTTGCCCACTTTCTGGCGAAATAATCCTCAGGAAAAGAAGACAGCACGTGCGCTCCCGGGAAGCAGCAGAACGCCCGGCCCATGCGGACCCGGCACACTGGCCTCCGGTCTGGGACGGCAGAGTCTCGCCCTAAGGAAGAGTGCAGGCAGGGTCGGGGCAGGCAGGGTCGGGGCCGGCAGTGAGGACGTGCGCTGTGCTGACAGGTGGTGAGCTGCCCGTCTGTGAGGGGGAGTAGGCAGCAGTTCTGCCCAGGTGGTGGACGCCACAGACTGCTATTTCATTAAAATGTCCATAGACACTAACCTTTGCACACTCACCATACGCCAAGTGTTTTGCACGTGCACATCATTCAAATGTTCTATAGGGGCCGGCGCTGTGGTGTAGTGGGTTAGGCCTCCGCCTGCGGTGCTGGCATCCCATATGGGCACCAGTTTAAGTCCCGGCTGCTCCACTTCCGATCCAACTCTGTTATGGGCTGGGAAAGCAGTGGAAGACGGCCCAAGTCCTTGCACCCCTGCACCTACGTGGGAGACCTGGAAGAAGCTCCAGGCTCCTGGCTTCGGATCAGCCGAGCTCCGGCAATTGTGGCCATTTGGGGAGTGAACCAGCAGATGGAAGACTCTCTCTGTCTCTCTCTCTCTCTCTCTTTCTTTGTCTCTCTACCTCTCTCTGTAACTCTGCCTTTCAAATAAATAACTCTTTAAAAATAAACAAATAAAATGTTCCGATAATCGGATGAGGTAGAACCTGCTGTCCCCATCTTACAGACAAGAAAACTGAGGATCCAGGAAGCAGATCGCTTTCCCGAGACACGCTGGGACGCTCGCTCCCCCGCCGTCCTTTCTTCTTTGTGGGAACACTGCTGCCTTCACCACCGTGACAAAGTCCTGCCGGTGACGGCGCCTGGAGAGATCCCTCTCGGCCCCGCCCAGCACCTCCTCCCGGCCCCCACGTCCATGCCCACACAGCCGGGTTGGGACAACGGATGCTCTGGTCTTGCTGACGTCTGCTCAAAATGTCCCTGGCGAGCTGTGGCCCTGGGGAAGTTGAGGGGGAGGTCCAGAGAAGGGCAAGGGGGAAGGGATGTGAAACTTGGCCCCCGTCCCGCGCCACCCCTGCTGGCCGTCACGCCAGGGTCCCTGGGCAGAGGGCAGGAGCGTCCAGTCCCGAGTGGACAAGCCGAAGGCAGGTGAGGCCGGAGCCCGGGAGGGAGGGGCAGGGCAGCCAGGTGGCTGGTGCGGGTGGCCACGAAGCAGGCAGAGGCCACGGCTGCAGGCTTTGGGCCAGGCCAGGGCTGGGGTCGGGCAGCTCGGAGTCAGCACCCAGAATGGCTCAGGGGAAGGGACTTCAACCCCCTAGGGCCAGCCCTGGGGGAGGCGAGGAGTGAGGCAGGCCCACAGTTCCTGGGCCTTGATCCCCCCAAACTGAAGGAGCTGGGAAAAGCCTAGAGGTGCCGGAGCCCAGGAGGGGGCCATGGGGGACAGCGAGCCCCCGGGTGCAGGGCAGTGAGCAGGCGCCGGCGTCGCACGTGTGTCTGCACAGCTCCGCCACCTGGACGTGAGAGTGTTAATTAAACAAGGAGCCAACGCTCGATAAATATTTGTTCAATGAAATCGATCAGCCACGGGAGTGTGTGAGTGTGTGCGCCCGGGGAGGGGGGAGGAGAGGGGAGACGTCCACCAGGGTCTCGGTTCTGGAGGGCGCAGTGGGTGCTGCGCTTGTGGCTGGGGCCGGTGCTGAGTGTGACCATGCGGCTGTGCCCGGTGCACGCGTGTCTCCGGGTGCGGCTGCGGTTCTGGGCGTGTGTGCGGGGGAGAGGGGGTGGGGAGCCCGAGAGGCGCCCCTCATCACACCTGTGTCTCCACAGGCACCACATGGAGACCTCGACATGGCTGCTGCTGTGTGTGCTGGCCACCTCCCTGAGCTCTGGGGTGACCCAGGGCGTGTGCCGAGCCCCTGATGGCAAGGACGGGGCTGCGGGGAAGCCTGGCCGACCCGGACGGCCGGGCCTCAAGGGCGAGCGAGGGGCACCGGGTGAGTAGCTGAGTAGCCTCCCTCTCTCTGCACCTGGCCTCCAGGTGTTGGCGTGGGCGTGGCAGTGAGAGGCAGGAGTCCCTGTGGGCCCCCCACAGCCCTTCAGTTTGTAATTGGCCTGGGGGGTGAGGGGGGAGTCCTAGTCAGGCCTCTCACCCCCCCCCCCACTGCCTCACCCTCCTCCTCCAGAGAATGGGTTGCTCGGAGTGGCTCACGTTCTAGAAAAAGCGCTGAGGGTGACGGAAAAGGGAGGAAGTCAGGGGCAGAGGGAAGGTCCTGGGGGGTCCTTGGGGCCTCCCAGGCCGTGGCAGACCAGAAGGCTGGGTGGAGACGCTGGCAATCACCCACACCCGGGGAATCAGGGTGGGGGTGGCACGGCGGGGGCAGGGCTGCTCCCAGGCCGTCCGCTGGCGGCTGCCTCTCTCCCAGGTGCCGGCTCCCACTTCTCTGCGTTTCACAGCAGAGGCCCAGAGAGGTTCAGACACCTCCCTGAGGTCACACAGCCAGTCAGAATCCAGGTCTTGAAGGCCCAGGCACTCCCCTGCACTCCCCCACTCAGGACTGGCAGGTGCCCGACTCTCACCCTCCACCTGCCCTTTCTCCCTGCAGGGGCACCCGGCATGCGGACGGGCATCCGAGGCCTTAAAGGAGACCCGGGGGAACCCGGGCCCCCTGGGAGCCCTGGCAAGGTGGGCTTCCCAGGGCCCAGCGGCCCCCCAGGCGACCGCGGCCCCCAGGGCTCCAGGGGCCCTAGGGGTAACCCAGGGAACATCAGAGACCAGCCCCGACCGGCCTTTTCCGCAGTGAGGCGGAACCCCCCATCGGGCGGCAACGTGGTCATCTTCGACACGGTCATCACCAACCAGGAAGAGCCGTACCAGAACCACACGGGCCACTTCGTGTGCGCCGTGCCCGGCTTCTACTACTTCACCTTCCAGGTGGTGTCCAAGTGGGACCTCTGCCTGTTCATCGTGTCGGCCTCCAGGGGCCAGACGCGCCGCTCCGTGGGCTTCTGCGACACCAACAGCAAAGGCATCTTCCAGGTGGTGTCGGGGGGCACGGCGCTGCAGCTGCAGCGGGGGGACCAGGTCTGGATCGAGAAGGACCCCGCCCGGGGCCGCATCTACCAGGGCACCGAGGCCGACAGCGTCTTCAGTGGCTTCCTCATCTTCCCGTCGGCCTGAGCCTCCGGCTGGGCCCCCCCCGGCCACGCCCACCGCCCCTCTCTGTCGCTGAGCTGTCGCTGTAGCCGCTGCCACCGGCTCCTTCTCAGAGCTCCTCCTGCAATAAATGTTCAGCCTCCGGCTGCTGAGCCTCCGCTCCGGTTGCTGCCCCAGGCACTGGGGGGAGGCCCGAGAGCGAGGGAGAGCAGGCCCGCCCTGAGCGCTTTACCTGCTGGGTCCAGCAGGCTCGGGTCCCCCTGCACCCTGACGCCTGTCACTCTGTGGTCTCAGTTTGCACCTCTGTAAAATGGGACTGTTGGTAGCGCCCACCTCCGAGGGTGGCCTCCATAGAAGAGCACTGGGACGGGTGCGGGGCTCCCCGGAGCCCGCGGGAGTTTGGGCTGTCTTGTGTTTACACCCCAGCCCTGAGGTAGGAATTGGAGGCCCATTTTGCAGATGGTGAAACTGAGGCCGGGGGAGGCTGGAGGCCCGAGGCGCCAGGCGCCAGGCCAGTATCTAAGGGGAGGAGCTGGGACCCCATGCCTACTGGTGAACACACTCCTTCCGGTGTTTACCACCCCACCCCCACAGCTGCACCCAGGAATCACACAGGTGCGACTCTAGCCCCGGGCCAGGAAGGTGGGTCCAGGAATCAGAGAGAGGAAGTGTTTGGCCCAGGAGCGCCCAGCACCCTCCCTGCGGCCTGGGGGCCTGAGCCCAGCCCTGGACTCTGCCCAGCAGGCACGGAGGTGGTGCTGCCCCAGGCCCCCCCTCCCTCCGCAGTCCCCTGCAGGGGCTGCTCAGAAGGAACGCCCCCAGCACGCGTGCCTGGGGCGTAGGGGAGGGGAGGAGGCCAGGACGTCACCCTCGTCGCGGTCCAGGGCCCTGTGTGTCTTCTCAGAGGAAGCTGCTTGGGTCCTTGTGCTGTGAACACATGAACACATGTGCACATGCGTGCACACATCAGTCACACAGCACACACACGTGTATGTCACACACACATCACAGCCACACACAAGATCACACATGCACACACCACAGACACACATGAGTACATCACAGTCATGCATGTGCGCTGCATGTATCCACAACAGCCACACACATGTGCATACATGCACACAGAGCGTGCATGTGTCCATCAGTCACATCCATGCATATGCCATGGGTGATACCAGATACGCACATGTGTGCTTCAGCCACGCATACACACACATACATACACCGCACACACCACACACACACACACATGCATACATTACACTGACTCACGTGCACACACTACAATCACACACACGCATGCGCTGAGTGATGCCTCTCTGGGCTCACACCAACCCCCTCCCCCTACACACACACTGGGGGTGCCCAAGCTGTTGTCCCAGCACCCTCAGCACCAGACATCCGGAGAACACCCGCGACCCCTCTGAAGTCCCCCCAAACACACTCAAACCCAGGGGTGCAGTCCCCTCACCTGCCACGTGCATGGCCTTAGACACGCTCATGTTCCCGTGGGAGACCCGGATGCAGCTCTTGGCCTTGACTTCTGCCCAGCTCAGCCATCTGGGGCTGAACCAGCTGACGGAAGACCTCTCCTTCTGTCTCTGTCTCTCTAACTCTGCCTTTCAAATAAGTAAATAAATCTGCTTTCTAAGAAGCGCTCGTGCTCCCCCCATGCTGACCTCCTCACGCCTGCGCCCACACGGGGCCATCCTCAGAGTCCCGGACCTCGGGCCACAGCCCTGCACCCAGCTCCAGCCTCCCCTACCCCCCCCCAGCACACACCTGGGGATCCCTGCGGCCCTGCGCCCACTCCAGGGGGGCTGCGCCCGCGCCTGCCTGTCTTTGGGCCACTTCTCCGAGCCGGTGACCCTCGGGTCCCCACCAAACACAGGAGGACACTGAGGCTCTGAGGAAGGAGCTGCTCGCCCAGGATCCCTGCGGGAGGAGCCGGCGAGACGGGAGCCTGGCCGGGCAGTCCCCAGGGAGCTCCTTCACTGCCATGCGACTCGAAGAAAACGTCGGGGCAAACGGGGGTCCCCGAGTCAGGCCACGGAAGGGCCTCGCCTGCCCCTCCCCCAGGCAGATCTCAGCCCCAGCCCCAGCCCGGACCGGGCAGGACGGCTGAGCGTGGGCCGAGGCTGCCACCTGCTGGACAAGCCAGAGCCAGGCGCAACAGCCATGAGGACAGAGGATGGGAGCCGGTGCGTGGGCTGGGCGGCCCCTGCCTGCGTGATGCGCATCTGTCCCATCTGCTTCCCCCGGCCCCCAGCCGCCCAGGGCCTCGCCCGACGCTCCACAGCCCTCACACCGCAGGGACTGTCGGGGACAGTCGGGGTCGCCACTCAGCGAGGCAGGCGCTGAGCGCTGGACTCCAGCTGGCGCCTGCACGGAGCTGGGCATTGTGCCTGCAGGATGCACTGCCGCGGGTCATGTGGAGGAGGGATCCAGGTTCAAGCTCAGGGCCACAGAACCGCTCCCCAGGAGTCACACAGGCGGCAGGAATGGGGGGAGGCTGGGCCCCTCTTCTCCCTGCAATCCCATCTGAGAGGCAGGAGAGGAGAGAGGGTCTCTCAGCTCTGCCAGCCTGGCAGGGACTGGCACCTCCTCACCAGAAAAACAGGCTCCAAGAGCAGAGGTCGGGGTGCTCGGGGATTAGCTGGGGAAGGCAGCGATGACGGAAAAGGTGAGATCAGCAGAGAGACAGGGCCCCAGTGTAGGAAGAAGCACCAAAGCTCAAAGCCTGCCCCGTAGACAGAAGGAAAGACTGAGGCCTGGAGAGCCAATGATTCGCTAAAGGAGACAAGTGAGCAGCAGGGCTGGGAGGGGAGGCCAAGGCTGCTGACTGCTCTGAGCAGCCTGGAGCCACCGCACAGCTGGCCCCTCCGGGACGCCCGTCCCCGCGTGTGGCACCTGGGATGGGACATGGACGTCTCCAAGCCCTGGTCCTCCTGATCGGCAGGTGCACACGAGGCTTGTTCCTGGGGACAGCAGAGCAGAGGGGTCAGAGCGAGGCTTTGGACTCCGAGAGGCCGGGCAGCACGTGGCTCCCGGCCAGGGCTCCTGTCTCGGGCTCCCGTCTCATGGATGGGTTTTCTCGTCTTACCAGGGGGTGGGGGGTGGGGGTTTACAACTTCCTCCTAGGACGCAGGGAAACAACTGAGCCTCACACAGGGCTGTGGCCTGGGGGCTTACACGCACGTGCACACACACAGCCGCCCTTGCCGGCAGCGGCCATTTCTTCATTCCCATCCCTGTGGCCAGGCAAGAACAGGGAGGGGCACAGGGTGTCGCTGGGGTCAGCCTGGCTCAGCACCCGAAAGAAAGTGTGGAGTCAGGACAAATTCTGAGAAAGGGGATGTGGGAAGTGGGGCGAGGGGCGGGGCGGGGGCCGCCCAGCCCTGCCCTGGGCAATCCGGGTTCCGGCCACCCTGACACGGAGTCTTCCTGCCTGGGAGAGGGGACACAGGTCTGAGGACAGCTCGGTGAGCCGGCCGGAGGCCCCCCACCCAGGTGAGGAGGGGCCTCCACCCAGGGGACACCCAATGCCAGCTTCTGAAGCATGGCACCAGGGACGGCTTGGTTGGCGGGTCCCAAGGGGGCTGGGGTGGGGGCCATGGGGTGGGTCCGAGGACGAGCAGGGCACCCGGGGAGCGAGGCCGGGTGGGCTGTCTCCATGCCTTCCCTATCACTCCCTCCCCAGCATGGATGTGGGGCTCGGCTCCCAGTCCCCGCTTGGGCTGCACCTGCTGCTGCTCCTGCTGGCCTTGCCACTCGGAAGCCAGGCCAGTGCAGACTGCTACGGCATCCCGGGGATGCCAGGCCTGCCCGGGACCCCTGGAAAGGACGGGCACGATGGGCTGCCAGGGCCCAAGGGCGAGCCAGGTGAGTCTGCTGGGGGCAGGGGCAGGGGCACGGATCCGTCCGGGGCTGGCGTGGAGGCCGGGGCTCAGCCATTTAAGGCAGGAAGCGTGCTGCCTCCTGCCACAGCTGCCACCCCATGGCCGTCGCCTCCTCTGTCCTCAGAGCCCCACCTCTCGGCATCTCCTCTTCCTCAACTGTGCCAGGGAGCGGGCTGAGCACCTGCCGGGCGGCCGGGACCAGGAAGAAGCCTCGGCTAGCCTGCACAGGGCTCTGCGTGCACTCACCCCACGGAGGTGGCAACCCTGTGCCCTGCTCTGAGGCCAAGTCCCGCCGGGATCGATTCCCCCTCACTTGGCCAGTGTCAAAGCCTGGGCTCAGAGAGGTTAAGCAGCTTGTCCGAAGCCGCACAGTGGAATCCTGTGCACCTCTGCCCTCCACTGTCCTCTCCTCTCCTGCTCACTGCCCCCTCCTGTCCACTGCTTGACAGCGCCATGATGGGTGGGAGCCAGGAGCAGGGCCAGGGTCGCCGGATGCTTCTGCGACCCCAGTGCTCTCTCCTGCTTGTCTCCCAGAGACTCTCAGGGTCTCTTCCGTCCTGGGCTCAGAGGGGAGGTCGCCTGCTCAGGCTCAGCTGACCGGCAGCCCAGGTCCCACCTGACAGTGGGACTCAACGCTCACAAGTCACACGGGGTCTGTCCCCGACGGGGTTGCACACACATCCAGCCCGAGGGCCGGTGGGGTGGTCAAGGAGGGCTTTCTGGAAGAAGAAAGTAGCATCAAACCTTAAGAGATGGGTGTGGTTTGAACAGAGGCTCAGTTCATCAGTTCATCCAGGATTCAGACAGACTCGTGTTCGAGTCCCGACTCCACTCCACACCGGCTGTGGCCTGGGGCCGTCTCTGGCCTCAGCTTCCTTCTCTGTAACATCAGGGAAGTTGAGCCAGACCGGCCGGTGGCTCCCACGGTCTCCCCACAAGCTTTCCCATGAGCCAACGCTGGCAGGGGCGGAGCCGGCCCAGGTGTGCGGGTGTGGGTTTCCTGGGGCTCTGCGGTTCGGGAAATGTCAAGGGACCTCGTGACAAAAAACAAGGCAAAACGGCTGAGACTTGGTTCAGGGCCGGTGGGGGGTGTGGAAACCTACACGGGATAAAACCCTGTTTGGGAGCACACGTGTACACATGCGTGTGCACACACATGCACAAACACGTGCACACACACAAGCGTGCAAAACCGGCGCGAGCTCCGTGGACTGCGAGAATGTCGGTGCCCCGGTTCCGATTTGTCTGTTAGTGACACGCGAGACGGGCCAGCGGGGGAAACCCAGTCTCTCTACTCCCGCCAAGTTCCTGGGAAGCCACCATCATTTCCAAATACAAATTCGCACAGATTACAAAGCAGAATCAGGCCAGAGGCCTCGCAGGGGCCGCCGCGGGCTCGTCGGGGTTCCTAGGAATCGCAAGCCGTCTTGGGATTCGGGTGGAGCCTGGACTTTAGGCTGACCACCGCCCCGCCCCCCCCCCCCGCCGGGGCTCTCACTTGGTGCCGCCACCTGGGGTCCCCCCCACTCCCGTCTTAGCCTACTTTCTCTGTGACAAATGGGGGAGCTGAGGCCAAGAGGCGAGGTCAGAGGTCAAGCCTGTGGGGGAGGCAGGACCTCCCTCACCTTGAGCTACAGCCTTGCTCCTGCACCCCTCGGCCCGATAAGATTCCAGAGACCACACACTGCGGTGTGACCTGAGGAAGACACCCTAGGATCCCTCTCGCCTGTGCCCTGCCCCTCACCGCCTTCCTGCCTTCTCTCTCTACCTAGGAATCCCAGCCATACCGGGGACACGAGGACCCAAGGGTCAGAAAGGAGAACCGGGCACACCTGGCCACCCCGGGAAAAATGGCCCCATGGGAAGCTCGGGGCCGCCGGGGGACCCTGGCCACAGGGGCCCCCCTGGGGAGCCGGGCGTGGAGGGCAGGTACAAGCAGAAGCACCAGTCGGTATTCACGGTCACTCGGCAGACCGCCCAGTTCCCGGAGTCCAACAGCCTGGTCAGGTTCAACACGGCCATCACCAACCCTCAAGGCGATTATGACACGAGCACCGGCAAGTTCACCTGCAAAGTGCCCGGCCTCTATTACTTTGTCCACCACACATCACACACGGCCAACCTGTGCGTGCAGCTGTACCACAACGGGGCCAGGGTGACGGCCTTCTGCGACCACATGGCCAACACCAAGCAGGTCAGCTCGGGCGGGGTGCTGCTGCGGCTGCAGGTGGGCGATGAGGTATGGCTGGGCGTCAATGACTACAACGGCATGGTGGGCACCGAGGGCTCCGACAGCGTCTTCTCCGGCTTCCTGCTCTTCCCCGACTAGGGGCACAGCTGTCCTCTCCCTCAGCTGCCTGCAGCCTTGCCCAGGCCTTTGTCCCCACCTGATGAACTCCTCCTCCAGGAAGCCCGCCTTGATCCCCTGTCCTAGGAGTTCTGTCTCTGAATTCACTCTTTGTACCCAATACCTTCTGGTACCCTCAGTGGCTTTTTTCAGATCTTGAAAAGCAGGGTGAAATAGAAACAAATAAATTGGTAAACATGCCTGGCTGGTTCCTCACTGTCCGTTCCTTGGATGCTGCAGCTTTAGCGTGGCCTCGGCCACTCTTGTCTGCGGGGCTGGACTTGGGGCGTCTTGCTGGTCCCCAGGGCTGGCTGCCGTCCCTTGTTTGCTGTCCATAAAAGCACTGAGCTCCCAGGTTCGCGTGAGCGCGTGCTGTCTCCGGGCCGATGCTGGATTTTGGGTGCATTTGCCACGGACCGGGTGTGGACTCAGTAGGCTCAGGCAGACAAAGCGGATGGGCTGGATGAACGGATGAATGGGCGAATGAACCACTAAAGACAGAGCAAATGGATAAAAAAGTTGTAAAGAGGCCTCCCACAGACCACGCCTGCCTCGCCACTGGCATCCCGTATCAGAGTGCTGGTTCGAGTCCCGGCTGCTCCACTTCCAATTCAGCCTCCTGCTAATGCACCTGGGAAAGCAGTGGAAGATGCCCCAAGTGCCTGGCACCCTGCACCCACGCGGCAACCTGGATGGAGTTTCGGGTTCCTGACTTCGGCTTGGACCAGCCCTGGCTGTTGTGGCCACTTGGGAAGTACACCAGTGGATGGAAGAGTTCTCTCTGCCTCTCTGTCTCTCCCCCTTTTTCTTTCTCTCTATTGCTCTGCCTTTCAAAATAAATCTTGTTTTAATAAGTCATAGTAGCTAAGACCTATTGAGCACTGACGATACACTAGGCATTACGCTAAGTGCTTCACGTATAGTAACTCGTTTAACAGTCATCGCCACGCTCTGAGGTGGGCATGAGGGGACGGGGGCACGAGACAGAGAATTGGCCTCCACCCTTCTGACACCCCAGAGTAGCTCACAGATTCTGGGGGCCCCAGAAGTTCGTCTAAATCCACGGCTGCCTACAAGCCCCCGAGTTTTGGCTCTGAGGCTATCGATGGGGCCCAGCTGGGCCCAGCTGCAATGGCCTCTGCGGCCCAGGGAGGCCTCTGTTTGCTGGCTCAGGTGCAAAAAGATAAAAGGCATGACTCCTGCACAGGCTTGGGATGCCCGCGGCAGAGCACGGAGGGAGCCTGGGAGGGGCTGGTCCACGGGTCTGACTTCTCGGTGTGGTTCCCGGAGGCCCTGGCCGGGGACGGGGGCTGTCAGAGCAGGGGCTCCAGTGAGTGCTTCCGTGTGGTCGGGGCCCCTCTGATGCTGGCCAGCCCGCAGGAGGGCAAGAGAGAGAGAGAGAGAGAGTCATGCCGAGGGGGAGCAGGTGTCGAGAGCCAGGGCCCCAGCCTGCTCACGGAGCCCGGGCGCCTCTGGCCGGGCAGGGCCCAGGGCACCGGGCACAGCCTCCACAGCTCCCTCGGCATCCACTGCTCAGCTGCCCACCCGCTCGCTGGCCCCGCAAGGCCACATGGGTACCACTTGCCTCTCATGTCGCTTTGGTTTACAAAATCAATACCGCGCTTGTGTAGCCGCAGCGTCAGATCAGAACCCCGTGCCCGGGAAGCAGCGGCTTCTTTATTTTCCATGGCTGCTTCCTGTTGTCGTCCCTTTGTCGGCAGAGATAGGCCTTTTGAGGGCACCAGCTGGCCCGCCATGCAGGGGGCAGCGGGGGAAGGGGGTTAGGGCGGGTTAGGGGGCTGCGGAGGGGACCCAGCCAGGACCAGATCCTCGGGCTGGGAGGAGTCCGTGACGCAGGGAGCTGAGGGGTTCAGGTCTTTGCCTGCTGTCTGCAGGGATAGGGCCCCCCTTAGCACAGCCCAGAGACCAGCGGCTCCCACCCAGGGGGCCAAGGCCCAGGGACCCCTGAGAGCCCAGGCTCCGTGACTTCCTTTCTTCACATCAGGAACGCGGTGTCAGTGCTTGTGTTGGACGCCTGCCAGCAGGGGCCGGCCAGCCAGGGGGGCCCTGACCTGCGGGTTACAGGAGACAGGTGCCCATGCCTCCCATTTAGGCACGAGGAAACCGAGGCCTTCGGCCACCAGGGCTGCAGCTCCAACTTGGACGTAGCCGATTCTAAAGCCCAGGCTTGGCCCCCTCGCTGCGTCCTGTTCTGAGCCTCCCCGCTTCCACCCCGGACGTAAGCCAGGTTTCCCCCCTGCCGTCTGTGGTGGAGGAATTGGAGACCCCGCCCACGTGGGGGGGGTCCTCAGATGGGGCCTGCACCTGCAGCCTCCATTCCCCACCCCCACTCCCCGCTTCCCGCTGAGAACCCGCCTGTTTCTCCTCTTCACCCCCTCTGGCTCCCTTTGGGTCTGCAGGTGGCTGAGCCCGGAGCCCTTTCCTTCGCTATCACCTTGTGCAGTCAGCGCTAAACTCCCACCAATCAGCATCCGCCAGCTCTGTGACATTTTTTTCTTTTAATCTCCAAACACAGACGTCAAGAGGCCTCCCACACCCCCAGCTCCCAGTGCTTGGGGGTGACTCTGCCTGGGCTGCTCCTGGGGCGGGGGGAGTGCTCACTATGCCAGCCTTCCAACCCTGCACCTGCCCCTTCCACGGAGTGTGTGCGCCAGCGATCGCTTCTTTCTTGCGACATTTATTACAAGAGCAATAAACCTAGCGTCATCTAATGTTAAACACCGGCGTCCCCCCGTGGGGACCGGGGCTGCAGCTCGCCCGCTCCGCGCTCTGTCTCCAAGCTAACGATCAGCATGTGCCGATGAAGACTGGCCTCTCCAGGCCTCTGTTGCCCCACATGTCAAAAGAGGAGGCTGGGCGAGGTGTCCTCCAAGCCCCTGTCCAGCCCTAAGCCGGCCTCATCCCTGGATCGGCTAGCAACAGGCCCCTGCCTGTGCCTACTATTGTCGCCAGCTTCAAGCCCGGCTGGAGGCAGCGGCAGGGGCATAAATAAGTAATGAGCACATTTCAAATGCTTTATTAGATTATTTTCTGAGAACAGGGAAAGAGCAGAGGTGCAGAAAGGGGAGGAAGTGGCAGAGATGAGCTCAGACCGGGAGCCTGGGCTGAGAGGGGTGCTGACGGTGAACACGGCCTCCACCTCCCCACTCGCCCCCACACGCCCCTTCCCCTCCATGAGCCCATCCATGGTCCTCCCAGGGGCCCGTGGGACCTGTCCAGCAGGTGCAATCGTGGCCCCACCACATGGCAGAGAAAACTGGGGCTCCCGTGGTTGCTCTCGGCTGAGAGCTTTAACTAGTAAGCAGCCGAGCCAGGCTAGGAATCAGGGTCCCTAACCGCACCCCAGCAGCCACAGCACCCGCCACTGGGAAGGCCCTGTCCCCTGTGCAAGATCACGAGGCTGGGGAGCCACCAGCGGCAGAGCCCCCCACCCCCACCGCCCCGCCCCGGACAGCCTGTGTGCCCTACAGCTGCTGAGTCGGCGAAACTCAACTCGGCACCCCCCCCCAGGAGGCAGAAATGGGATCTGAAACTGCCTGAGGGCAGCAGGGCGAGGGGACAGCAAGGAGGACAGCGGAAGGGGACACCCAGGGGAAAGCCCTTCCCGTCCCCAGGCCATGGAACTTCCGCTTTGGACGGAGAGCAGCAGGCTCCGAGCTCCCGGCCCCACTGCTGCCCAGCCCAGAGGCCTCGCCGGACACCGGTTCCCAGGTGAGGAGGGGGCTCAGAGCCTGGGGGCGGGGAGGCGGTGATTCCCAAAGTATGGGCCTGGCCACCTCGCCTGGGTGTTCTGCCGAGCAGATGGCTGGTCTAACCCTGCAGGCAGGTAAGTGGGGGCCTCCGGCACACGGCTCCGCGGTCACAGGCTCGAGCTGCGGGCCACTGGCCACCTCTGTCAGAACTTGCTGGGCTGCCGGAGCTCAAGCTCCCTGGGGGCCCAGTGCACGCCCTGCTCCACTGTGCCGGGGACCCGGGGTGGCGGTGGGATTAGAACCCGGGCCCCTCCGAGCAGCCCTGTTTCCCAACGCCTTGTTGCTCTTGCTCCCTGGCGGTGAGCTGAGAGCTCGGCGTGGTCCTGGCAAGGAGAGAATGTGGTGAGCAGCGGAGCTGTGGGTCCAGGAGGGACGCGGGCTCGGGCGCCGCCCCGGGGGCCTGTTCCTCCTGGTGCCGCAGCAGCAGGGGAGTTCAGGTCAGGTCAGCTGGACTCCAGCTGGGGGCTGCAAAACGGTGGAAGGGTCCATGCGGGGCTGGCACAGCCGGAGAGGCCAGGCCAGGTGGGTTTTCAGACACAGTGGCCCCTGAAATGGGCTAGAATCGGGATCTCCCTGCTCCCCTAGCCCAGCCTCCAGCTTCCCCAAGGAGCCGGGCTCATCAGGACCCTGTTCTCCAGCCCAACAGCGCCCCCACTGGCCAGAGCTCGCCACCCCCTGAGCGAGCCCCTCTCCCCAGCCGCCATCTTCCCTCCCGGCTCCCACACGCGGGAGTCTTGGCTGACGGGGACAAGGACAAAATGCCTCGTGCTCATTACACATTTCCAACATGCAAGGCTCTGTCATGCCAACCCTTCCAGGAACAGATCCGTCTTAGTCCCATTTTACAGGAGGGTAAACTGTGGCCAGAGAGAAGTGACTTCTCCCATGCCCTTCTGAATCCTGGGGGTGCTGCTTCGCTTGTGACCACGATCGCTGGCTACCTGCTGGCTATTTGCGTGTGGACAACAGGAACAGCCGTTGCAGGTCACCTTCTCTGAGCATGACCACGGCCCCAGCATGCACTGCTCCCAGCTCACCCCGTAAAGTCATCTTTCTATCAGACCGCCCGGCCCTGACACCAGCATCTCACCCACCAGGGACAGGGGCCTCTTCACCTGACGCCGAGTTTTCAGATCCAGCTCACGTGGGCTGGAATCCCAGGCACACAGGATCGGTGTGACCTTTGTCTCCACGGCCCCTGCCCAGCCCGGTACCGCCTGGATCCCACGGCTGTCCTGGGACGGGGCAGGGACCAACCCACATTCCCACTTTTTAGAATTAATTAATTAATTTGAAAGAGCGATAGAGGGAGAGACAGAGAGACAGCTTCCCTCTGCTGGTTCACTCCAAAAATGCCACAACAGCCAGGGAAGAGCCAGGCCCAGCCCAGGAGCCAGGAACTCCACCAGGGTCTCCCAGGTCAGGTGG